ACTATATTTCTGCATTCCTTTAGCAGAACAGTAGTATTTGTTTTTCCCCTATGACCCTAGTCAAGGTAGTCTCAGTTTCTCAGCCATCCAAACAGTGTCAAGGATAGATTTGGTCTCGTGGGGTGGGCCTTAAGTCCAATCAGATAATGGTTGATTACTCCCACAGATGTTATGCCACGATTGCACCAGCACACCTTGCAAACATCATCATTGTAGATACAAGTGTTTGCAACCGGGTTGGTGTTTCCCCTTCTCCTTTGGTAGTATGCAGATTATCTTCCAGGACCGTGAAAACTAATCTGTAGGATAAAGGCTCTGAGTAGTCAATAGCTCCACTCTTCTGTGTTCAGTGATTTGTAAGAATGCTGTCTTCAGCAATAGGGCCTTGTCATCAGTTTGTGGAGAGCAAACAATTTAAACGATTTAAAGTAAGTTCCAATATTGTTCTACTTCTGTGTGAAATGTAGTCTTTATTTGGAGCTATTTGTCCAGTAGTAAAATTTGCAATATATTGGAATATATTCAAGTATCACAAATACTAGATTACATAATGAGAATGGACCCTGAAAGATGAATAATTAGGGAGCTTCCACATCAGTGAAGATTGGCAATACAGAGGATCACTATGAAAGGTGTCAAAGAATGGAGGACTTACACAAGGATGCTGTGTAAGACTATGTAAAATAAAATGAACAGCTGCTGCTCAAGTGTACACACCTTATACCAGTATATTCTTATAGTCAAACCTCCATTCTATCTCCATTATCAAAGATTCTCATTTCTTCTCCTATTAGAACACTCATTTCTCTTTTCTTTGTACTGGCATACCCAAGAGAAAGACCCAGATTCTAACACCAACAAAGTTAAAAATTCTGCTATTGCATTTGTCTAAATTCTATTTGCTTAGGGGAGAGATACAGTACCCAAAACAAAATCTTTAGAAGTGCCCAGTGATAATGCAAATTAAAAGGCCCAAACAGTATTAGTCTGATCTCATTAAATATATCCCATTAACCATTACTAGACAGTAATAAACTGTGACCTATTATGAGACCAGACACACAAAGCTAAAACTATCTTGTTTCCAATAGGGAAATTGTTTAGCCTTATACATTTTTAAATATTTTTTTTCTAATAGAGAACATTAAATTTGTTCTGATGTCTTTAGCCTGGAATCATAAAAGATGATGAACTATCTACACACCCACAATACTCATATCAATGACAATGTTAAAGTTGAGTTTATCTTATTGACAAATTGCATCCCACCACCAATTATCTCAAGTTCAACATTAAAAATTAGATGGTTTACCTGATGCCAGCATCATGACTCAGTTTTTAGTATTACCCCAATAAAAATAAACTTACAAAATGTTTTTATTACATTGAGACATATCATGTTGATTCATTGATTTCTCTGTTAGTAATGAAAATAAGATAAAAATATAGCAGATACCTACTATTGGTAATGGTGTTACTTCCCCTCCAACTACAAATATAATAAAACCATATACGTATTTCATTAGCCTCAATTTTGAAATTTCTCTGCAGAGTAAATAAATTTGCCAAATAAGTACAATTTATTTTACTTTATTTTATTATTCCTAATATCATTACACACACAGAAAAAAGTACATGAGATCAGTGGCCATCACATGATGCTACAGAGCTAATTATTCATTTCCATCTTGAAGGGTTTGCCCATGAAAGACATGGATGTGAGATGCTCATTGTTGGGGATAAGTGATTATATTGGATCCCCTACATAACAAGGAAATTTTTCCTACCTTGAAGTTAGCTGAATGACAACCATCATACCATATCTGACCTTATTTTTCTCTCAGTGCTCTGCCACTCTCAAGAGAGCCTCTTACTTTGATATTTCAACCCAGAATACTCATTCTTCAAATCCTACTTGCAAAACCTGCTTAGTCAGGATTCTTTAAGGGAATCATAAAGGCAAAGAGAAACCTCTCAGTAAGTCATCACACTTTATAAGATCACTTGCAACTCTAAAATGTTAGCAGTATGATCAAAAGGGCAGAAACATAAGATACCTTTCAATATTTTAAATATGTACATAGAATCCTTAAATTGTGTATGTGTGTGTTTGTGAGACACACAGAAACATAGTCATGAGTATTTACAAAATAAAATTTTTACTGTTTGAAAATATTTATATTGTGGAAAAAATGAAAGGATAAAAATAAAACATGCAATTCTAAAAGAAAGAAAGGAAAATTCATGAACCAAAAAATTTAAATTTTATCTTTCATTGTTGCCAGGAATGTATAGAAGGATAGGAGATAATAAGTATATAAAAGAGCCATAAAAAGTTCTTAGAGATAGTAAATAGATTGTCAGACAGTAAGAACTTACTGAATACTGAACATGAATACATGCATGTATTGAACAATAATACCTTGCATATATATACATATCTCTGTGTGTGCATGTGCATGTGTGTGTGTAGGGGTAGGAAAGAGGATGAAATGAGCTCAGTCACTAAAAGCTACGTAAAAGTCAACAAAGGAAACACAACAGAAAGTTGTCCTATGACCTCTGCGTGTCTGCCTTGGTACCCACATAATACACACAAACAATATTATAAATAAATTTAACAATTAGTCAAAATATGTATGTACATATAATAAATATATCAGTAAATATTACAACATTAAAAATAAGCATGTCACCTAAAAAGCAAGGGTAAAATGTGTTTGAAGAACTGAATTTGTATTCATATAAATGAATTTTCTTAACAGCATTAGTTAATTGGAAATACAAACAGGAAAGTAATATAATAGAATAATAAAAATTCTATAAATTTATTTTCTTTGATTCAAATGCAAATGACCAAATGTGAACCTAAAGACAAAATAAAAACTAGCAAGTCCACGGGAAACTGTAGTGAGCCACAGTGCGAAGATAAAGAATACATGGTGTATCCAATATAAACTTGTGAATCCCAGAGAAAGAAGATATGTATGACATTATTTTATAAAAACAATTTGTTAAAAAAAGTCTCAAGAAAAAAATCATTCCAGATTTAACATAAAGTAAATAGATACACAGCAAATTTTTTAAAAGACAAATGAAAGCAAAACCAAAAGGAACACATATTTTTGTTTTGTTTCACATAATCACAAATTGGATTTAACATAAAATTAAAAACAAAGTCTGAAACTTTTAATAATATCCAACAGAAAAAGATACAAATTTTATAGTTTCCAAGAATTAATTAAGGAGGTAGCTTAATAAAGACACAGTAGCTACATATTTCAAGGTTTATGATGAAATAAAATTATGGAAAATATGAAATTTCTAAAAATACTGACTCAAAAACAAAATAACATAGTAGAAACATGCTATGACTGATGGTATCCCTGACACATTATAATTCTACTTAGGAAGAAAATCAGAATAAATTATACTTACATTAAAAACTACAGAGATTAATAATATATTTTCTAATTAAAATAAAAAATAAGTAGATGAATATTTAAACTGATTTAAAATTGTAAACACACAAAAAATTTAACCTATTATACAAGTCTTTCACATCCTTTGTTAAATTTATTCCAAGATTTATTTTTTTAGACTTATGGGAATTGGAAAATTTCCCTAATTTCTTTCATGGTGTGGTTGTTGGTGATCTATAATTGGCAACTGATTTTATGTGTTAAGTGGTTGTTGTTGGTGTATAGTTGGCAACTAACTGTGTGTTAAGTGGTTGTTGTTGGAATATAGTTGGCTACTGACTGTGTGTTAAACGTTGTTGGTGGTGAATAGTTGGTGAGTGACTGTGTGTTAGGTGGTTGTTGGTGTAATATGAATGACTGTGTTTTGAGTGGTTGGTGGTGGTGTATAATTGGAGACTGACTGTGTTAAGCGGTAGTTGGTGGTATATAGTTGATGACTGTGTGTCAAGAGGTGTTGTTGGTATATAGTTGGTGACTAAATGTATTAATTGGTTGTTGGTAGTATATAGTCAGCGACTGACTGTTAAGTGGTTATTGTTGGTATATAGTCAACAACTGACTATGTTAAGTGGTTGGTGGTTTAGAGTTGGTGACTGATTTTGTGTGCTAAGTGGTTGTTGGTAGTATATAATTGGTGACGGTCTGTGTGTGTTATCTTTATATCCTGTTATTTTATGAATGTGCTTATCAGCTGTAGCTGATATCTGAATAAAAGTCTTCAATGACTTTTATTCATAGAGTCATTTCAGCTTCAAATAAGGATATCTTGACTTCTTCCTTTCCTGTTTGTATCCTTTTATCTCCTCCACTTATCTTATTTGTCTAGCTAGGCCTTTGATGGACTGTATAAACACAGAACAAAAAAAACCCATGCAAACATGAGTGGAAAGGTAGGTTGAGATGGATCTGAGGAGAGGTAGGGGGTTATCATAATAAAAATAATCTGTCTAAAAGTCTCAAAGAACTAATAAAATATTATTTTAAAAGATTTACTATATATATTTAATAAATGGTCTAAAAATGACTATGCTTGGTATAAAACTAAATATTTTTACTTGGCAAAAATGACACTCTAGAATTTGCCCCTAAAAAAAAAACAGGAGAAGAGCCGTGTCTGGTAATCACTTAGGGCACTAGCACTGCCTATGCCTTAAGAAGTACAGTCTTGGAAATGAGTGAGTGTAAGGTTATTCACTCTTGCTCACAGCAGCAGCTGTCCCTCATTGTTTCACTTTACTTCCTTCTTTAGTATCAAGTACATAAATGTGTGAAAATGTAAATTGACTTGTTTGACCATAAATTTTATTCTTAGGCTTTGATTTCGTTTTTAGAAAATCATTTGAATGCCCTCTTTAGCCTCATGTAAAAAGTGGTTATTCCTAACTCACAATGCAGCTTCTCCCTTTTATTCTTAAAGAGAATGAGAGATATATTACAGATTCATGGAAAGGCACCTTGGATATTGAAAAAGAGCACTGTAAGATCAAAATATAATTGAAAAGGCAAGAATATTTACAGTGCCAGGCAATTACAAACACTCGTCACACAGGTATGAAGACTCCATGTAACTGGATCATGTTATGCTTAGGCTATGGAGACAATAGCAAGGATAGTCAATGATACATTGCTAGTGGCTTAGGGGAAAATGTTCTTGAACGTAAGAATTTACTTTAGCTGTTACTCCACTGAGTTCCATATATTTGGCAGACCATTCAAGTTCAAGCTACCAATTTACCAATAATTGTTTTAAACACAGGATTGTGACTTCAGAGGGGACTACAAGAGCACATTGTTTACAGAGTCAAATAATTTGAATTAATTCGGCTCTTAGTTTATCTTTCAAAGTTAGAATGTTTCAAGATACACAATGGACATAATATTAATGTAAGTTAAACAAACAACTGCAAGCATGTCTGAATGGAAGAAAAAAGGAAAGGAAGCCAGAGTTTTTCATGAGTCCATACAAGGAATTTCCATGTGAACTTGTCCCAGAGTAGCCTGTCCAGTCTAGTCTAACAGTCTGTCGACTAGAAGATACGGTGAAGTTTCTACAGAACTGTGTTATTAATCCGCAGGTTGAGACAAACCAACTAGTTTTGCAAACTGGTAGCTCACAGCAAGACATAGGAACTATCCACTAAAACAAGAACATGAGTCTTCTTAGGTGGATTGAAGAATATGAGAGACTCTTACCTTTCAGTAAATACTTTGAGAACTCGATCTCTTATCTGCTTTGTCCTCACACCATAAATGATGGGATTCAGTGAGGGAGGAATGACCAAGTAGAGGTTTGCAACAAGAATGTGAATGTAGTGTGGTATGTTTTGTCCGAATCGGTGAGTGAGGAAAGAGAAGACTGATGGGACATAAAAAACACAGAGAACAGCAACATGGGAGCCACATGTGCTAAGTGCTTTTAGCCGTGCATCCTGAGATGGGAGTCGGAACACAGCACGGAGAATGTACCCATATGAGATGCCAATAAGGACCAGGTTCAAAAGAAAGAGAGAGACCACAAAAAGGCCATACACGGCATTGACATGGATGTTTCCACAGGACAACTTTGCAATGCCCATGTGTTCACAGTAGGAATGTGCTATTATATGAGCTTGACAAAATGGTAGGCGGTAAATGAGATAGATCATTGGACATATAATCAAGGCTGGACGGATTACAACACAGATACTGATGCCCATCAGCACTCGAGTTGTTAAGATGGTTGTGTAGTGTAGTGGAGCACAGATGGCTATAAAGCGGTCAAAAGCCATGGCCATGAGAACCTCAGCCTCCATGCCAGTGAAAGCATGGATAAAAAACATTTGAGCCACACAGCCACCAAAATTTATCTCATGAGCATCAAACCAGAATATACCAAGCATACGGGGCACAGAGGCTGTAGAAAGGGCCAGATCAACTGAAGAAAGGATGGCCAGGAAGTAGAACATGGGATCTCGGAGAGAATGCTCTGTTTTGATGACAACCAGAATTGTGGTGTTTCCCATTAGGGCCACAAGATAAATACAGCAGAAAGGCAGAGAGATCCAGGCATGGATTGCCTCCAGACCTGGAATCCCAATGAGGAAAAATGTAGTTGGGTGAGGAAACGTCCTGTTGTGGATTGTCATTCTGTACTGGTCAGAAAAGGTGAAACTCTTCCTCCTGTTGGGAAAAATGAGGGAAACACAGACACACACAAACACACACACCACACACACACACACACACACACACACACACACACACACACACAAAGGGGGGAGACAGACAAAGAGAAAAAGAGACACACAGAAACAGAGAAAAGAAAGAATACAAAATAATGAAAAGATGCTCAGGAGGCGGGGTAGAGGGGCTAGTGCACTTGTTAACAACACGTACACAGAGTTGAACTCGCTTTTCCTATGAAATGTAGCCTCTTGCAGCAGATAGTATGCTCACTCAACTCTTTGGCCATTTGATTAATTTTGACCATGTTTATACTGCAAGTTTTCATTTACCTCTGAGCAAAGGCACTATGGCAAACTCAATGCAAATTTGTAATAATTAGACCTCTCTTCTTCCTTTGAAAAAAATTACAGAATGTGATTTGATTCTGGGAATCATCTCTGTTTCAGGGTTTGCTATAGGAAAAGGAAACACACTAGAGAGGGGGTAACAAATGCAGTAAGCCAACTAGAGTGAACACAAACCATGAATTCAGACTTATAGGCATGTTACACCTCAGAATATAAGTTCTGACTTCTCGTATGGATTATCACAGAGACAGGTTATTATGAAAACAAGACTTAGCCTGTACTCACCATCTGCTTTTCCAAGTATGTTCTATGTACTCACCAGACATCAGCAGCAGACTCACTGAAGTCTTCTGCAAAACCTCAGAGAGCATAGTACTTTAAGTCCTTTTTGAGAAAGATTCAAAATACATATTTATATTGTGCTTCAAGTACTGCAAGGATTTTTTTTTAAAACGCATCTCATTTTAGCCTCAGATTGAGACTCAACTCTGGGACAGAATCCTCAGAGACTGCTTATGCAATCCTAGATACTGCTCTGGAAACAGAACAACAATGACAAAAAAAAGGCCCAAGAATAATGGAAGCAAGAATAATGAAAGTTTCCCTATCATAAAATACTAAGGATAAAATGAAATAACACCAACAATGAAGCTAAAATGGTAACTAATAGGTATGAAACTGTGCGTGTGTGTGTGTTTACAGATTCATGGCTATGAAGTTCAGGATTTACTAGATAATGATTTAAAATATTACTATTTTACTCCCAAAGAATATAGAACTGAAATTTCAAGACCTGGACATCTCACGGACTCAGGATGACTATGGTAGAAATTCCATGACATTCAGCTCTATAAATTACTACATCTGTATCCATAAATTACTGACTTTTATTAGTTAACACTCACAAACAGATGTAACCTCTTTTTTTCCAATAAATATTTATTGGAAAAATTTCAATTTCAACCACTTTTATTTAAAAGACCAAACTTGCTACGTGTTCTACCCACAGATCCCTCTAAGCTGCATCCATCCTCTCTGCACAGGCAGATCTCCTACAATTTTCACTAAGATATAGCCCACTGAGTCTCCCTAGGCCTCCACGTCTATGTATCTTCACAACCTTCCTGATCTAGACTAGTTCCCACACTCAGTGCCCTGTATTAGTCTAACTACCATTGCATACACTGTCACCCACTGCTAGGTTTCAGCCAGGATACCTCCTATGAACCCACAAGCACACAGGCCCTTTCCATGTCCCATCCAATCTTTCCTCCACACCAGATCTACAGCAATGCTCCAGGTATAAACAAGGAAGCACATCTGGTACACTGACTCAATCCCCTTTGTCCACCTGACTTAATTCCACACAAGCCAAACCCAAACTCTAGGCCTACCCTACCTGTACATCTGTCGACGTCTAGAGCATCAGGGTCCCTGGGTAAGGGTCTCGAACAAACCAGGACACAGGGGATGCAGAGCACAAGCAGCAATTGCAACTGCATGCTGCGTGTTTATGATGCAGCCCATTTATACACTATTGAAACAATTGCTTCAGTCAACAGTTTAATCAGAAAGAGGAAGTATAAGTGGATGAAGTAATCATTCTTGAGAGAGCACGATGTATTTATTTAGGGCTGTGGTCGCAAGAATATCAGAATAACTGCAAAAATACCATCAGGTGGTGTGGCCACAAAAGTCTACAGAGACATTATCTCAATATCACAAATCTAATTTAAGCTTTCCCTAAATAAGCAATGCATGGCATCTGGCCGGTACTGTGCCTCAGGGCAGCCACTTCCTCAAACCAAGGGTATGTGAAACTTGCAACTTAGAAAACAAGGCCAGAGGACTTGTCACTCTGTGAAGTATGCCCAAGTGGCATTCCACCAGACTCCCTTGAATTCCAAGGCAGCACTCAGCAAAACCCTGGCTCAAAGGGCACAATCCTCTAGATCACAGTCTCCAGATCTCCACATACATCGTTTCTTCTGCCCCAACCTACTGTGTATATATCAGACTTAGAACTAACAAAAGAAGTCCGCATGCTCAGATATCATTGCAAGATTCCAAACAATGTAAAATATCAAGCCAATATCTTCTCGCCAAAATCTACCAGTCCTAGAGAAAAGTTTGCAAATGAGAATTACCAAGATGAACTGCAGGATATAGAATTCAAAAGAACGATCATAAACTTCATCAAAGAATCCAAGGGTATTAAAGAAGACACAAGAATCAACTCTATGAAATTAAGGAGAGAGAATGTGAAGAGAATAAATTTCCGACAGATGCCCAGGAAAAACACAAACGTGAGGCTGTTGGAAATGGCAAAGACAATCCATGGTTTGAGAATGGAATTCAGTAAGATGATAGAGACATTGAAGATGACCCAAGCTGAAATAAAGATGGAATTTAAAAGCTCAATAGTTCAACTAAGTAGCACAAAGAAAACAAAACCTGCCAGGAGATGGTGGTGCATGCCTTTAAGAAGGAAGAAGCAGGCAGATCTCTGTTAGTTAAAGGCCAACCTTTCTACAGAGCGAGTTCCATGATAGTGAAGGCTACATTGAAAAATCTGTCTCATACCTCCCTACAAAATAAAAGAAACAATATCCTTCTCTCTGTTGTCTCCAAGAACCACGTCTTAGCAGTTTTGTTTTCCACCTATTGTCAGCCTCTATTTCATAGTATTTAAGCAGGGCAATTATCACAGCACATATCTTTTCATAAGTGCATTATTCTTAGAATAACCTAAAAAATGAGAGTGAGGAAAGTTAAGAACAGAAACTGATGCTAAAATGTAGTCTTAACGTGGTTTGGATTTGCATTTCTCTGACGGTTAAGGATATTGAACATGTCTTTGTTTCTTGGGCATTTAAGTTTCCTCTATTGAGAATACTAAATTTATGATTGTATACATTTTTAATTGGATAGTTAAAATTTATTTTAAAACCATAATTAATTTTTTCTTTTTGATATCTAGTTTATCTAGTTCTTTATTTATTTTAGATGTTAAGTCTCTATCAAATGTGGGGTTGGTAAAAGAAAAATTGCTAAGCCATAGGTTGCCACTTTATCCAAATGACCGTGTCTATCCATTACAAAAGCTTTTCAATTTCTTGAGGTCCCATTTATTAATTGTTGTTCATAGTGTCTATCTATACTAATGGTGTCCTGTTCAGAAAGGTTTTTACTTTGCCAGTGAATTTAAGGTGGTTCCCAAAGTTCTCTTTCTATCAGGTTCAGTGTACTCAGGTTTATGTTGAAGTTATAGATCCATTTGAAGTTGAATTTTTGTTGATGGTGATAAATATGGATATATTTGCATTCCTCTATATGTGGTCATCCAATTTGACTAACGCCATTTGTTGAAGATGTTCTTTCTCTCTTTCTTTTGTTTGCAATGTGTATTTCTGACTTCATTATCAAAAACCACGTATTCATAAGTTTATGGATTTATGTCTGGATATTCCATTCACCATGCATCAACATATCTGTTTTTATGGCAATATCATGTCGATTTTATTACTATAACTTTGTTGTAGAGCTTGAAATCAGAACAGTGAGAATTTCAGCAGGTTTTTATTGTTCAGGATATTTTGAGCTATCCTGAGTTTTTGATATTTTCTAATGAAGCTGAGAATTGTCTTCTCAAGGTCTGTAAAGAATTGTGCTGTAGTCAGGTGGTGGTGACACACGCCTTTAATCCCAGCACTCCAGAGGCAGAAGCAGACAGATATCTGTGACTTCAGGGCCAGCCTGGTCTACTAAAGCTAATTCCAGGACAGGATCCAAAGCTACAGAGAAACCCTGTCTCAAAAAATAAATTGTGCTCTAATTTTGATGAGGATAACATTGAGTTTGTAGATTGCTTTTGATAGGACGGTCATTTTTAGTATGTTAACCCTATTGATTAATGGGCATGGGAGGTCTTTCCATCTTCTAATATCTTCTTCAATTTCTTTATTCAAAGACTTGAAGTTGTTATCTAAAAGTCTTTGACTTGCTTGGTTAGAGATATTTTATATTATTTGAGACTATTGTGAATAGTGTTTCCCTGATTTGTATATAGAAGTGCTACTGATTTTTGTGATTTAATTTTGTATCCAGATACTTTGCTTAATATGTTTATCAGCTGTACAATTTTCCCAAAGGAATTACTAGGGTCACTTATGCATGCAGACACATAATCTGCCAGTGAAGATACTTTGACTTCTCTCCTTCCAATTTTTATCCCCTGACCTCCTTCAGTTGTCTTACTCTAGCAAGAACCTCAACTACTATATTGAGTAGATATGGAAAGTGGAAGACCTTGTCTCATTGCTGATTTTAGTGGATTTTACTTTGAGTTTTTCCATATTCAAGTTGATGTGTGCTATGGGCTTTCTATAAGCTGCCTTTACTAGGTTTAGATATGACCCTTGTGTTTCTAAACTCTCCAGGTTTGTTATCAAGAAAGGGTATTGGATTTTGTCAAAGGCCTTTTACACACCTAATAAGATGACAGTGTGGTTTTGTCTTTTATTTTGTTTATATAGTGGATTGCATTTTTTTATTTGTAATTGACCATCCCTTTATCTGTGGGATAAAGCTGACCTGAACATGATGGGTGGTCTTTTTGATGTGTTCTTTGATTCCGTTTGCAAGTGTTTTATTGAGTATCTTTGCATTTATGTTCATAAAGGAAA